CTGTACATAGCCTGTGTAGAGAGCAGAGCTGTGAGAGGGACCCAGTAGGCCCCACCCACTATGGGCTGCCTACAGAAAACTACAGGAGGGGGCGGATACAAGACCAGTCATCATGCACAAGGAGAGAGAGCAGCAGTAAATGGTCTTTATTACAGGAAGCTCCTGCACAGGCAGGCAAATGTTTGATGCTGGACTACTGTTCAGGTCTGGAAGAAATACACAAAACACACCAAGATTCTCTCATTCCAGAGTTCAGTTTTTTAAAGCCAAACTCCAGGATATAGACAAAAGCTACCCTTGCTATACTTGTTAGGTCTAGGGGGAGATGAAGAGGCTGTATTACTTGTGTGGCCAGCTGCAGTGCTTTCCTCATCCTCCTCTGGTGTTCCAGGCTATGGGAGGAGGCTGGGAGTGCTGTAGGCTCCATGCACACTAATGTTTCTTTTTAAGCTCAAAAAACGCTGGATAAAAAACACTGGTAATAGCATTTTTTTAGAAGATTTTAGGAGCATTAGCGTTTTATTAACTTAAGAGGTAGGAAAAAGCTGTTAGGAGTGTTTAGTGTTTAACAGGGTTCAGGAGCATTTAGTATTTTTCGGCTGGAAAAAGTTTTCTGCTCCTAGACGTCAAAGCTCAAAAAATGCTAATAGCCAAAAGTAGTGTGCATGGACACATAGCATGACACTGTTTATCTTCTAATACTAATAACAGCTTCTAGGAGTTTAAAAAAAATGTTAGTGTGCATGGAGCCTTAAAGGATAAGTTCACCTTTTGGACAAAAATAATAAATGCACATTTTTTGCAGATGAGAAATGTGCATTTATTATTTTTTTCCAAAGGAGCCTGGAAAGCATTGCACCAGCAATCAGTAGCAATATAGGCACTCATTCACAGAACTCTGTTTTCAAATCTGACAGATAGTACGGGAAAACTTCTCCCCATGCTATCTGTCAGAGGGAGGGGGCGGTGAGTGTGGCTGCAGCTATGGGAACATGTTACATGTTCCACCCTAAAAATGGAACTTATCCTTTAAAGAGGAAGCCTTGCATAGACAGTAGCACCACTGGAGGGACCCTGCTGGAGCAAGAGATAAGGTATTACTCCTAGATTGTAAGAACAGGTAACCCTTGCAGTGCGGACGGGGGGGATAGGATAGGTAGATTTTGTCTATAGCCTGAATTTGGGCTTTAGGGTCGGTTCACACCATAAAAGATGCATTTGCATGCACAGTTTTGTGAGTTCCTAAGGTGTATTTTTGAATTATTTATTACAGGTACTTATACAGCGCTGTCAATTTATGCAGCTCTTTACATATATACTGAACATTCACATCAGTCCCTAACCCTCAAGGGGTGTACAATCTAAGGTCCCTAACTCACATCCCTACATACACATACTAGGGCCAATTTAGACAGGAGCCAATTAACCTACCAGCATGACTTTGGAGTGTGGGAGGAAAGCGGAGTACCCGGAGGAAACTCGCACAAGCACAGGGAGAACATGAAAACTCCAGGCAGATGGTGCTGTGGATGGGATTCAAACTGACCACCCTAGTACTGCCAGTCAGAAGTGCTAATCATTTAGCCACTGTGCTGCCCCATTCATTTCAGTGGGCTACCAAATGCATGGGAATGCACCAAAAGCATCACAGGCATGATTTTTAAAATCCCGCCTTATAAACCACACGGCAAAGTACCTGTGTTTGCTAGATACAGTCATGGCCAAAAATATTGGCACTCGTGCATTTCTGTCAGATTGATTTCAGTTATTTTTTCCAAGGGCGTGCTACCAAATATTAAATAGAGGGTGCCAATAGTTTTGTCCAGTCCTTTTTTGGAGTTTTGCGTGAAATTTGTGCTGGACTTGGCCTTTTATTACTCCACTTTTTTGTGTCAGACCAATACAAACAAAAGAAATAAACATGAGGATGCCTAAACATTTGTAATTGCTACAATTTTTTGGGTGAAGTGGTACATTATTTGACATAAATGTGAGGGTGAATTAATGGCACCCCCACGCTTCTGTAGAGGGCAGATCAGCCCTTAAACTTGGGTATTAAAGTGGAGTTCCACTCAGTTTCGTGTTTATTAAAAGACAGCAGCTACAAAAACGTTAGCTGCTGACTTTTAATAAACACACACTTACTTGTCCCAGAGTCCAGCGATGTACTCACCCACGCCTTCCTTTTCTGTCTCTTCTCTCCCTGGCGCCGGCATCACAACTGTGGGCACCAGGCTGTGACAGCTTGCGGCTTCACAGTCAGGTGTCCGCTGTGCATGCGCAAATAACGCTGTGCATTCTCATTGGTCCAGCAGTCTTCTGGGACCTGTAAAAGTTCCCAGGAGACTGCTGGAAGGAGGAGGGGGGCCGAACTTCCAGCTCACTTCACAGCGGCCAACTGAGCCAAAAGTGGAAGCAAGTACCTGTCAAATACAAGTATACACTCCCCCCCAAAAGGTGCAAAATATGGCAGTGGAGGGGGGAGGAGGCAAACAAGCGGAGCTTCTGCTATTGAGTGGAACTCCGCTTTAATGTGCAATGGTGGCCATACACACTTCAATTGATGTGCAATTCAATCAAAAAGATAGAATTGGCAAACAACCAAATAGTCATAACTTCCCTTCCAATCGATTTGTATACAATTTATATACACGGATGAACATGTAGTCTTCGGCTGTCAGTGAGATGTATACCTTGGTGGACAGGTAGTCTGCACTTGTCAGTGTGATGTATATATTGGTGAACATGTAATCTTCATCTGTCAGTGAGATATATACATTGGTGAACATGTAATCTTCATCTGTCAGTGTGATGTATATATTGGTGAACATGTAATCTTCATCTGTCAGTGTGATATATACATTGGTGAACATGTAATCTTCATCTGTCAGTGTGATATATACATTGGTGAACATGTAATCTTCATCTGTCAGTGTGATATATACATTGGTGAACATGTAATCTTCATCTGTCAGTGTGATATATACATTGGTGAACATGTAATCTTCATCTGTCAGTGTGATGTATATATTGGTGAACATGTAATCTTCATCTGTCAGTGTGATATATACATTGGTGAACATGTAATCTTCATCTGTCAGTGTGATATATATATTGGTGAACATGTAATCTTCATCTGTCAGTGTGATATATACATTGGTGAACATGTAATCTTCATCTGTCAGTGTGATATATACATTGGTGAACATGTAATCTTCATCTGTCAGTGAGATATATACATTGGTGAACATGTAATCTTCATCTGTCAGTGTGATGTATATATTGGTGAACATGTAATCTTCATCTGTCAGTGTGATATATACATTGGTGAACATGTAATCTTCATCTGTCAGTGTGATATATATATTGGTGAACATGTAATCTTCATCTGTCAGTGTGATATATACATTGGTGAACATGTAATCTTCATCTGTCAGTGTGATATATATATTGGTGAACATGTAATCTTCATCTGTCAGTGTGATATATACATTGGTGAACATGTAATGTTCATGTGTCAGTGAGATATACTGTATATATTTGTGAACATGTAATCTTCATCTGTCAGTGTGATGTATATATTGGTGAATCTATCATTGTGGTGTATACATTGGTGAACATGTAATGTTCATGTGTCAGTGTGATATATATATTGGTGAACGTTTAATGTTCATCTGTCAGTGTGATGTATACATTGGTGAACATGTAATGTTCATGTGTCATTATGATGTATACATTGGTGAACATGTAATCTCCATCTGTCAGTGTGATACATACATTGGGGAACCTGTCATTGTGATGTATACATTGGTGAACATGTAATCTTCATCTGTCAGTGTGATACATACATTGGGGAACCTGTCATTGTGATGTATACATTGGTGAACATGTAATCTTCATCTGTCAGTGTGATACATACATTGGTGAACCTGTCATTGGGATGTCTACATTGGTGAACATGTAATCTTCATCTGTCAGTGTGATACATACATTGGTGAACCTGTCATTGTGATGTCTACATTGGTGAACATGTAATCTTCATCTGTCAGTGTGATACATACATTGGTGAACCTGTCATTGGGATGTCTACATTGGTGAACATGTAATCTTCATCTGTCAGTGTGATACATACATTGGTGAACCTGTCATTGTGATGTCTACATTGGTGAACATGTAATCTTCATCTGTCAGTGTGATACATACATTGGTGAACCTGTCATTATGATGTATACATTGGTGAACATGTAATGTTTATGTGTCAGTGAAATATATACATTGGTGAACATTTAATGTTCATCTGTCAGTGTGATACATACATTGGGGAACCTGTCATTGTGATGTATACATTGGTGAACATGTAATCTTCATCTGTCAGTGTGATACATACATTGGGGAACCTGTCATTGTGATGTATACATTGGTGAACATGTAATGTTCATCTGTCAGTGTGATACATACATTGGGGAACCTGTCATTGTGATGTATACATTGGTGAACATGTAATCTTCATCTGTCAGTGTGATACATACATTGGGGAACCTGTCATTATGATGTATACATCGGTGAACATGTAATCTCCATCTGTCAGTGAGGTTGTATAGGGCGATCTCCCCTCCAGTGAGGATCGGATGGTGGCATTGGCTCTCCGGGTCACCGATGGAACTACATCTCCCATGGAGCAGCAGGATCCCCCCTCCTCCTCCTTCTCCTCCTCCTCCTTCTGCTCGGAGCATCTCAGCTTCTCTCATCCTCTGCCAGTCAGCATCCATCCGAGGAGGGGAGCCACCTGAGCCCGGAGGAGGGGGGACCCCAGTGCCATGGTGAGAGAAGGGGGACGGAAGGCTCTGGGATCTCCTGTCTGACAGCTGTCATCCTCCTCCCCCCCGCCGGCCTGTAGATCCTCCATCCTCCCCATCGCAGACATGGAGCTCCTCAAGTTGCTCTGACAAAGGAGATCCTGCCTCGGTCATCAGAGAAGGAGGACGCTGGCAGCCCAGAAGATGAAGGTCTTGGCGTTGGCCAGGAAGGGCAGCCTCCTTCTGATGCTTCTCCCCAGCCTGATGCCAGTGTCTGGTCTGGTGGCCATCAAAGTGCCTCTGAAAAATGTCCCAGGCCCCGGAGCGGTCCTTCCATCCAGAGAGAGGAGGTCAGCGGAGGATGAGACCAACTTCATGGACATGAAGGACAACCTGCGAGGAAAGTCCGGCCAGGGCTACTATGTGGAGATGAGGGTGGGCACTCCTCCCCAGACGGTAGGTGGAAGCCTTCTGAACTCTCAGTCTTCTCTCTTTAGGCTCCATTCACATCTGCGCGCTCCAGGAATTCACGTAAAATGCACTTTGTGCTTGTGGTGCCATTAATTGTTAATAGTACCCCAAAAAATTGAAGAAAAAAGCACGATTGCAGCAAAACGCATGGTAAAAAAAAAAACGCACAAACCGCAAAGCGGCAAAATGCTCCATGAGCTAGTTTGCTGCATTTTGTCACATGTAGGGCAGCCCATTGAAATCAATGGGCTTCCCTATGCATGTCACAAGAAAAACAAACAAACAACATGAAAACAAATGTTTAAAGTGTTACTAAGCTCACAACAGTAAAATCAGTCTGTATATGCAGTAAAGCATGCTTGTTATACTCACTGTGGAACCTAAGGGGTTAATCATCTGCACTGTGTAAAAAGGCTGTTTGATCCTGTCTTCTCTGATCCTCCCCTTCTTCCAGTGCCCCCAACTCATCTCCTGATAGAACAGAGGCTTGGGGGCAAGCTGTACATGCTCAGTTTGATGTGTATTGCTAGAGAGTTTTTTTTTCTTCGGAGTGTGCATGTGATCAACCCAGGGACAATCAGTACTGTCCAGACAGAGGGTCAGGGGTGATGCAGCCTCATTGGACAATCGGGGGCATAAAACTCCTCCTACAAGCTTTAACCAGTGCTCAGCTGGACACTGAAAGAAGTCACAAGACTGCTATATACTGCTGATTAAGGTATTTAGAAGTTTATATTTACAAAAAAATAATTGCATTTCCATGTTCTGTGTACTGTGGGAGATTAGATATAGTGAATGCAGGGTCCTGGGTTTAGTAACACTTTAAAATCTCTAGATGTGAAGATCGCTAGTGCAGGTTGGGAACGCATGAATAATAGCACGCAATCCTGACCCGCACAGAAATGTGTCACTCCATAGTAGATGTGCTATTAAATCTTAAAACGGAACTAAGGGAATTAAAACCTATCTTTCCTCCAAGGGTCCTGTCCCTCGCTGGTGCTGGTATCTTCTCCTGTATGCTGGTTTTTGGCTGTCTTTATTGGCTGGCGCGGGATGACGTCACTCCTGCACATCATCATTGCATGTCCCTTCTGAAATAAAAGCCAGCCTGCTCACTGTTTGTTGCAGCATAACTTCAGTTCAACTTTAATGACACATCCACGCATTTTTTTTCTGTCTGGCAAATGTTTTAAAAAGGGTCGGGGACTTCTTTCCCCGTGTTTCATGCAAGTACAGCAGCCCATTCGATTTAATGTGCTGCTGTGCTCGCAACATGTGCCCACAAAATGCACATGTACATAACACACAGATATGAACCAAGGTTAAAGTGGAGCAAGCATCACATCATGTCCATATGTTAAGTGCATTCATGCTAGTTATCTTATAGATATGTAAAATTTGCAGGTATTTTTTTACCTCCCCCAGAAATCACAGTCAGTATTCCTTTATATGCTTTTATCTCCATAAGGACAGCACCATCTCTTGTCAGGCATCATCCAGGGTCAGCTTCTACTTCCTACACTGAGATGCCAGTTCAGAGATGGCACAATTCCTGGTGCCTATGTAGTCAGGGTTGTGTTCACAAATGTCTTACACAGGTCAGCCCCTGCTTATGAATTGCTACAAAATGACAATATTACCGGGGGAAAGGAGACTAAGGACTGACACTTTTTGCCTGTAGCAAACTGATGACAGCAGGGGACCCCAACATTTTATTATGGCGTGCGCATTGAGGTATAACTTTTTTCCCAAAAGGTGGACTATGCTTTTTACATCAGAACAAAGTATTAAATGCACTGATATTCCAGAAAGGAAAAAATGTGCATTTATTATTTTTTTTGCATAGAAGTCTAAAAAAGCATTACAACCGTAATCAGTGAATCATTGTTGCAGTGCCCAGGCTCCTGCAGACTCAGGTCTCTATGGAGTTATGGATCTTTGGTTAGGGGGCTGGAGGAAGTAAACAATGGATTCTTGTGCTTCATTGAGAACTAGGTGTCTCTCTGCTGTGAAGGCAGATGGGACTTGAAGTCTTCCATTCACAGAGCTGATTTAAAAAATTAACAGAAGCACCCCATGATTCAGATAGGAGGGGGAGTTTGAGGGTGCGGGCTACTGAATGGTCATGTTGCACCCTAAGGCCGTGTTCACACAGGTGTACCTATCCATACACCTTACAAAGGGCTGTCTTTGACCACACAAGATACACAGGTATGCCATGCATCTGCAAGCAGACAGGGAGGAACTGTCATGCCTTTTGGGATGCAGTGGTTGAACGGACACAGCCACTTTGACGTCCATGTGGGTGCATGACCCTGAACCCAGACAGTGTGCACTATTGTGTCTCAGTAGGGACTGCCTGCACACGGATGCACTGCACACCTACGGGCAAAAATAACCCTTTGTACAGGTGTGCTGATAGGTACATCCGTGTGAATGAAGCCCTTATATGAATGTAACATGAAGCAATGTCAGAAAGGTAGAGTTACCCTTTAAGAAAGTTGGTTTGTATATAAAAGGTTCAGGGGGTGAAAGGGGGGCAATCTAACTTAATCTAGTAAAATGGGAAATATATAATGATACCAGGGAATATCTGATTGCCTCTCGGGGGATCAGGAAGGAATTTGTTTCCCTGCAGGAGCAAAGTGAAGCGTGCTTTGCTGGGCTATTTTTTTGCCTTCCTCTGGATCAATTGTGGGTATAGGATTATAACTTTTTTTTTATAATTTAATGGTTGACTTTGGTCTTTTTTCAGCCAGACTAACTAAATAACTATATCTATGATTTGTGGTCTTCTATGTATTGGGAGTTTTTATTTTTTTAATGAGCTATCCAAATACTGGTGCTGAAGTTTACATGGAAAGTGAAAAACCCCCTTCCTAACCTGAAGTATGGAGGAAAGTAGCCCGCATAGCAAGCAGCTTGATATGGAGGCATTCAGAGAAGAGGAACCTAGATCTTAAGTAAGGGCTGATGATTTGTGTAGCATTAACTTCCTACAATCCATCTGCCCTTAGCTCAGGCAGGTAGGCAGAGGGTTTGTTTAGTTGAGAACACAGTTCCTCCCCTCCTAAAAAACTCCTGGGATGTATGACATAATTGTGCCTAGGCCTGGAAACCAGGAAATATTAAAATAAAAAAAAGAAAACAAAAAAAAACATTTAAAACAAGTAATATATAATTTTGTATCTATTTATAAATGCTAGCAGCATAAAGATTAAAGGTAGTCAACGTTGGTTGAGAGTGAAGTTCTGCTAACTGGTATAGACTGTAATAGACTGGAGCTACTTTATAACCCTCTGCTGCTAAACTACATGACTCCGTCTGTTCCTGCTACAATGTTGTCTTTGTTCTCAGAAGTTAATCTTTGCGTAACCTTCTTTTTTTTGTAACTATTTAGCATTGAAAGCAGCAGACATACAGTAGAATATATCTGTATATGGAAGGAATCATCCGCTTTCCATTTCAATAAGTGTTAGGATTTTAGTCCATTGTGATTTGCCCAGATCAGCAGGAAGAATTTATCTATAAGGCCTTTTGTGCATTTAATTTACTGATGTATATGTACAGGATCTTGCTGGCAGAATGATCCTGCGTAAAAAACACAAGTATGATCCATAAAGTGGATGCAGTTACACGCATACAGGCAAGTAAACATGTGCATATGTTTATATGTGCAAAATTCATCTTTATTTTCTGCAAGCAAATATATATATACAGTCAGGTCCATAAACATTGGGCATCGACCCAATTCTAACATTTTTGGTTCTATACACCACCACAATGGATTTGAAATGAAACGAACAAAATGTCCTTTAACTGCAGATTGTCAGCTTTAATTTGAGGGTATTTACATCCAAATCAGGTGAACGGTGTAGGAATTACAACAGTTTGCATATGTGCCTCCCACTTGTTAAGGGACCAAAAGTAATGGGACAATTGGCTTCTCAGCTGTTCCATGGCCAGGTGTGTGTTATTCCCTCATTATCCAAATTTCAATGAGCAGATAAAAGGTCCAGAGTTCATTTCAAGTGTGCTATTTGCATTTGGAATCTGTTGCTGTCAACTCTCAAGATGAGATCCAAAGAGCTGTCACTATCAGTGAAGCAAGCCATCATTAGGCTGAAAAAACAAAACAAACCCATCAGAGAGATAGCAAAAACATTATGCGTGGCCAAAACAACTGTTTGGAACATCCTTAAAAAGAAGGAACGCACCGGTGAGCTCAGCAACACCAAAAGACCCGGAAGACCACGGAAAACAACTGTGGTGGATGACCGAAGAATTCTTTCCCTGGTGAAGAAAACACCCTTCACAACAGTTGGCCAGATCAAGAACACTCTCCAGGAGGTAGGTGTATGTGTGTCAAAGTCAACAATCAAGAGAAGACTTCACCAGAGTGAATACAGAGGGTTCACCACAAGATGTAAACCATTGGTGAGCCTCAAAAACAGGAAGGCCAGATTAGAGTTTGCCAAACGACATCTAAAAAAGCCTTCACAGTTCTGGAACAACATCCTATGGACAGATGAGACCAAGGTCAACTTGTACCAGAGTGATGGGAAGAGAAGAGTATGGAGAAGGAAAGGAACTGCTCATGATCCTAAGCATACCACCTCATCAGTGAAGCATGGTGGTGGTAGTGTCATGGCGTGGGCATGTATGGCTGTCAATGGAACTGGTTCTCTTGTATTTATTGATGATGTGACTGCTGACAAAAGCAGCAGGATGAATTCTGAAGTGTTTCGGGAATATTATCTGCTCATAGTCAGCCAAATGCTTCACAACTCATTGGACGCCGCTTCACAGTGCAGATGGACAATGACCCAAAGCATACTGCAAAAGCAACCAAAGAGTTTTTTAAGGGAAAGAAGTGTAATATTATGCAATGGCCAAGTCAATCACCTGACCTGAATCCGATTGAGCATGCATTTCACTTGCTGAAGAAAGAACTGAAGGGAAAATGCCCCAAGAACAAGCAGGAA